GGGCTGACTTTCTCAGTTCAGGCATCGTTTTAGATTGATGAGTACCTTGGCAGTTCTCCCGGTTTCCTTGGCTATCGTCTTGAAAGATTTCTAGGACACCAAGTACGGTTAGTGGATTGCTAACAGGTTCCATTATTTTACAGTGTGCCTTTGGGCTTTGATCTTGTTCATGGACATTCATGTTTGCTGATTTTTGCTGTGGCTTTTGACTTTGCATTTTTCCTTCATTTTGTAACCATTTTTCATCAATAAAAAAGGATAGTTTTTTTCACAGTCAAGTGTGGTGGATAGTTATCTTAGGGCCTCATTTTCTGCTCTGGGTTGCAACAGTTGCAACAAAACAATAACAAAGCCAGCGGACCTGATGGGATCCCTGCTGAAATCTTTAAAGAGGGAGGACCTGAGCTGACACAACAACTCCACCGACTCATAGAAAAAGTGTGGGTGACCAAGAAAATCCCAGCAGATGTCAGGGATGCCACCATCATCACCCTCTTCAAAAAAGGGGAAACTATCGAGGTATCTCCCTTCTAACCTCCGCTGGGAAAATCCTCGCAAGAATCCTTGCAAACCGCCTTCTGCCCCTCTCAGAAGACCCCTCCCAGAATCCCAGAACGGCTTCCGCCCCTCCAGAGGAACAAGCCAAATATCCCTGATCTGAAATGTATGGAACCAGAATACCTGTATTTATATAATGTTTTATACTAGGATGGTTTTATGCTTTAGGCTTTTTAAGTCTCTTCCGCTGTGTTTTCCAGTGTTTTGATGAGTGATGGTCACTTGTTGGCCTGATAGGTGTCTTGTGTCCAAATTTGGTGTTAATTCGCCCAGTGGTTTTTGAGTTATGTTAATTCCACAAACGAACATTACATTTTTATTTATAGAGATATATACTAGGGCTGGGCGGTTTCGTTTCGTAATTTCGTAATTCGTTAAAAATTCATTTTTTTTTATAACGAAGCGATATTGAACCATTCAGGAGCAACTAAAAAACGAAACGAATTTTTCCAATTCGTTTCGTAATTGTTTCGTTATTGATTCGTAAATGTTTCGTTATTCTTTCCGCATGTCTGGTGCAAGTTTTAGGGTTGCTGTTTGTTTTCTCAGTGAAAAAATATATAATTATCACACCAACAGTCAACAACAGAGGGAGAGGGAAGCTTCAGAAGTTTTTTTTAGCGTATTGCGCGATCGCGGCCGCCATTAACGAATCGATTCGTAATTGTTTCGTAATTGTTTTATGATTTCCGAAATTTCATAAATATCGAACTTTTTTTAAGGAAAATTTCGGAATTCTTTTAAATAACGAAATGCAAAAAACCCCTAAAAACGAATCGAGTTTAGAAACAAATTTTTCCGTGTTTGGACAGCCCTAATATATACGTTATGCGCATAAGCCAAAGATTTGTGCATCTGGTATTGCGTCGTAAGTACGAATCATACAAAACTGATCCGACTTACTCTAAATGTCAATACTTACATCTCCATTCATCAGTTTACAGTCATCGTCCATCTCATCTGCGCTGTCCTCATCGGAGACTTCTCCTTCTTCCACGTCCTCACTAATGTTGGCTGGAAGTTTCTTTCCCTAGAAGGATCAAGGGAACGTCAAGCGGTTAGTATTTATTTCATTGACAGGATTTCTATCCCGCTTTCCTCACCCAAAGGGGAGACTCAAAGCGGTTTACACATAACTGGCAAAGCTTCAATGCCATACATTGGACACTGCTGCGAAGCCAATCCATAACAACCACAACAATTAATGACAATTAAGCATAAATCATAATTAGACAGTACATAAGCAATGATTAAAACAATACATTATAAAAACAGTCTCGCCAGTCGTATTGTCATTCTAGTCCGCGTCCTTTAAACTCTACAAACATCTACTGTCGGAAGGCCTGGTCCCAAAGCCATGATTTCAATTTCTTTCTAAAAGCCAGGAGGGAGGGAGCAGATCTTACCTCATTTGGGAGTGTGTTCCGTAGGCAAGGGGCCACCACCAAGAAGGCCCTGTCACTCGTCCCCGCCAGACGCATTTGCGCAATTGACGGGAGCGAGAGCAGGGCCTCCCCGGATGATCTTAGATTACGAGGTGGGACGTAGGGGCGGATGCGTTCGGACAAGCAAGCTGGGCCAGAACCATATAGAGCAGTGTTTCTCAACCTTCCTAATGCCGCGACCCCTTAATACAGTTCCGCGTGTTGTGGGGACCCCCCAAACATAAAATTATTTTCATTGCTACTTCATAACTATAATATTGCTACTGTTATTAATCGTCATGTAAATATCTGATATGCAGGATGTATTTTCATTCACTGACAAATTTGGCACATACCCGATACACCCAATTTGGATACTGGTGGAGTTGAGGGTGATTTTGTCATTTGGGAGTTGTAGTTGCTGGGATTTATAGTTCACCTACAATCAAAGAGCATTCTGAACTCCACCAACGATGGAATTGAACCAAACTTGGCACACAGGACTCCCATGACCAACAGAAAATACTGGAAGGGTTTGGTGGGCTTTGACCTTGAGTTTGGGAGTTGTAGTTCACCTACATCCAGAGAGCACTGTGGACTCAAACAATGATGGATCTGGATCTGGAGTTTGGGGGAAAAAGAGACCTTGACATTTGGGAGTTGAAGTTCCTGGGATTTATAGTTTACCTACAATCAAAGAGCATTCTGAACCCCACCAACAATAGAATTGGGCCAAACTTCCCACACAGAACCCCCATGGCCATCAGAAAGTACTGTGTTTTCAGATGGCCTTTGGTGACCCCTCTGACACCCCCTCATGACCCCTCCAGCGGTCCCGACCCCCAGGTTGAGAAACCCTGGTATAGAGCTTTATAGGTCAAAACCAGCACTTTGAATTGGGCTCGGAGATGGACTGGCAGCCAGTGGAGCTGGCTCAACAGGGGGGTGGTATCCTCCCTGTATGTCGCCCGGGTTAGTAATCTGGCTTCCGCCCGTTGGACTAGCTGAAGTTTCCAAACAGCCTTTAAAGGCAGCCCCACGTAGAGTGCGTTGCAGTAATCTATTCAGGATGTAACCAGAGCGCGGACCACTGTGGCCAGATCCGACTTCCCAAGGTACGGGCGCAGCTGGCGCACAAGTTTTAATTGTGCAAAAGCTCTCCCAGCCACCGCTGAGACCTGGTGTTCCAGGCTCAGCGATGAATCCAGGATCACTCCCAAGCTGCGAACCTGCGCCTTCAGGGGGAGTGCGACCCCCTCCAACACAGGCTGTCACCCTATGCCCTGTTCGGCCTTGCGACTGACCAGTAGGACCTCTGTCTTGTCTGGATTCAGTTTCAGTTTGCTAGCCCTCATCCAGTCCGACACAGCGGCCAAGCACCGGTTCAAGGTCTGAACTGCCTCCTTGGGGACAGGTGGGAAGGAGCAAACTAGAGGAACTACAGCATCAAATGGCATTTTAGCAAGGATTGAAGAATATCATGAATAATGCACACATACAGATTGTATCTGTATCTTATCTAAGTTCCACCGCTTCTCCATTTCTTCTTCATGATAGTTGTTGCAGGACAGGACGAGAGTGCAACAACTCTCAGGACACCTGCAATGTCTTTGAATGATGCTGAAGCATTTCATCTCCTTTTTTGCTTTATGAGGCTTTCACCCAGACTCCATTAAACGATATTCTACAAGACCTTAAAACAGCATCTTCATATATGCATTAGTAGGATGCTAAGAGTAATGCGCCACCTCACAGATGATAAACTGATACCTTCAAGAGGCTTAACAAGCCCTTACTTACGCCCACCTTCTCTTGGTAGGAGGGATGATTCTTAAGTGCTTGAAAGAATATCCTGCAACGTTCCATGAATCCAGGATGCCTTTGCTCAGAGACCATTTTTATGACAGCAATGAAACAATTTGTGGGCAGGGAGGAGAAAAGGGGGACAAAAATTCTTGATGCTTACAGGAGCTTGCAGACTCAGACATGAGATTAACTTAGACAAGAGTTGTGCTGGTACGGCTGTACCAGGAGCTCCCACTTCTTTTCCTTTCTGTTGAGTGTTTGCATGTATTCCAAAGTTCCATGCATTTTGCAATAAGGTTGCAATCATAGGGCCAAGGACCCATCAATTATCATTAGGTTCTTTAGTTCCGCCCCTTTTTCTGGGTTAAGGAGGGAGAAAGGGGACTTCGAGTTCAGTCCACACAGAGAAGCCTTTCGTACAGGACGTGAATCAGTTCCACCTGGAGAAAGCTTCGCCTTTTTCAGCTTTGCTGGGGGGATCCAGTCCCACCGCTCTACAGAGAACGACAGCATAGCCTTGGTTGGGGAATTTAGTTCCACAACTCTACAGCCAGCCTTCGCTGGGAATTGAAAGCCTTCTTTCCTCTTGGAAATCTACTAAAGGACTCTGTTTGGTAAGGACCACTCACGGCAGCCATAACGCAAATTGGAACCGGGTGTAGGGGCCCCACGCCAGCAAAGCCTAAATATAGATTGCCCAAGGAGGGGTCAAGGATTTCCCTTATAGAAGGAAGAAACAGTTTATGAAGAAAGTTGCCTGTCCCTTGTGGACAAGATTTAAGCAAGCCACCAGTTGATTCAAAGCCTTGAAGTATTTGTTTGATTTATTGCAGATTTAAGCAACAAGAAAAACTTTGTTGAACTTTCTAAGTCTTTAAAAGAACCTCGTGTGGGGAAATCCGAAAGGCCTCTCAGCCGAGGCACCCCCGGCGTCCCGTTGGGCATTCAGAAAACACGTCCTGTCTACAGACTCTTTCACAGGCCCAGCGCGTGACAGCATGATTGTTTCCTTTTGACCCTTCTGGCCAATTTTTGATATGACCCATGGATGAATCAAGGCTCTTTCCATGGAGAAGGGTAAACACCATGGTTTTCTATGGGTGAGCAGATGGCAACTGGTAGGTGCCATATGTTCTGTATATCAAAATCTAGAGCTAATAGGGTGAAACTGGTTGCCGCTGTCATTTCCCCACCCAGAAATTAAAAAAGGCCAAAAGTAGCATCACGGTGGAGAGAGTAGAGAGAGTCGATGCTTCTTTTGGGTTCTCCACTTCGTTCAGAAAAGGACATTGTTCCTTTTTTGTAAGATATAGTATTCACATTGACCTGTGGATGTTAACCTTGGTTTTGGAGGCCTTTGTTGTAGTCTGACAAGCAACAAAGGATTTTTCTGAATGTTCAGAGAATGAGGGAGATAAAGTGAGGAGTCTGTGAGTGATCGAAGAGAACTGCGGGCAGACGAGGCCAATGTTTTGGATTCTTTTGCTCATTCCGAGGCAACGGGGAAAGGGAAAGTTCCAGTTCCCTTGAGAAAAGGTTTTGAGTCGATCGGGAGTTTTCCAGGGATAATAGATTAGGCCTGAGAACACAGGGAGTGAAAAACCGGCAAACTAGATATTCTCAGCGAAACTGAGATAAGATTCTGAGGTCCAGATGTATCAGGCATGATGTCATGGGTGTCTTAGAAGGCTTAAATTAAGTGGTTTGACTTCAGGTCTCTTGTTGCTATAGGAGATCAATCTCCTGTTAATTGTTCCTGTATTGTCAAGATTCCTGTTACATGTTCCTGTTTTCATGCTCATGGATGTACTATTGGATTAATTCCGTGTTTCTTGGGTTCTTTGGCTTTGTGTTCTATCCTGGCATTTTTGAATTATTGCACCACCTGCTATTCGCCAGGAAGTAGCAGCCAGCAATGAAAGGACCATGGCATTGACATCTCCGGCCCATCCTCTGTTTGGATATCAGCCAGCAAGCCAATGCCTTAAGTCAAGGAATAGTTTCCTAAGATCTACAGAGATACTCAGAGGAACACCTTAGCAAGCGAGAGTCCAAAAGAGGCAGGTCAAAACCCAGAACCTCAATCAGTGGCTGAGACCGGAGGAGACACTCCCAGACACAGAAGGCTGGATGACTTGGAAAGTGCTGAACAGGCTGCACTTTAGCACCACGAGATGCAGAGCTAAGAAATGGGGCTACCAAGTGGAGTCCACGACATTTGAATGTGGAGAAGAGCAAACCACAGACCACTTACTACAATGCGGTCTGAGCCCTGGCACATGCACAATCGAGGACCTTCTCACAGCGACACCAGATGCACTCCAAGTGGCCAGATTCTGGTCAAAGAACATTTAGTATAATGCCAAGTTTTTTACTTTGTTTGTGATTGTTCCATACATTATAATTGTATTCTTAATTCGCTTCTGACACTGAGCCCGAGCACGGCTGAGACCCCCGCCTTCAAATTGGTGTGAACCGCAGCGGAGAGTTCCGCAGTTCCTGGGAGCCAAATTTGGGACCAACGGATGAAATGTGCCCCAGCAGCCAGCTCAAAACCAGGAATGCCTGCAGCTTTCCTTTGCTTTCCCCTTCTCCTTACATTGTAACATTCCCCTAATAAAAGTACTTGAAACTTGCAACATTTAATCTCTCCGCTTGATACTTTTGTATCTTTCCCTGCCTCAGACTAATCCAACATTAAAATAAACCTTTTTCCAGGCTCCGGAGAGCCGTGAGCCTGCCGGGGGCGCCTACTGGCACCCCCGGAACGCCGGATCTGCGTTCGTTTAAACCGCGGATACGGAAACCGCCATTTTGGATCCCCGTATCCGCTAAAACAACAAAACGGCGGATCGACGCCGTTCCAATTTTGTATTTTTCTGCTATTAATTCTAAGACTAACTGCCATCTCGCTTTCCTCATTTTGGACTCCCCCGCCCGGGAAATAATTGGTTTGGTTTAAGGTATTTCATTTGACAGAAATCAGCTGTTTGTCAATTTGGCCGGTTTCTTCCAAGGCAGCCCGTTTCTTTTCAGCGCCGCTCGTTCCTGCCCAGCCCCGCAGCCGGGGGCTCACTATGGCTACCCATGGGAGGCCCTGGGAAGGCGGCCAGGCGGGGACCCCGGCCCTGGAGGAGAGACACAGTTCTCCAAAGGCCGGACAAATGGACTCTGTTGCTATCCAACCCAGTGCTCACCACTGGACTATTTTGCCTTTTCTTTTTGACTCCCTGACTCATGAACTGGACTGTTTACATATCCACGGCCATGGATCCTCTGCTGGTGCCTGATCCGAGACGCTGGCAGCCTCCGTTTCCGCGCATCCTTTTCCACGTCTATGAAATCTCCGATTTATGTCATAATAAAGATCAAATATTATAATAAATTTTCCTGGGATGGGGATGGGGTTTTGCTTTATATGTAATGAAATGTTGTATGGAATATACTGTGTCCCCTTTTCCCGCCTTTCCTGTTGACCCTTGCCCCACAAAGTTGTGACCTGAAGATTACTGTGATGCCCTGGGGAGAAGTTCCTCTGTTTTCCCCAAACCCTTCCTGATTGACTCATCAGCATGAAACAATACCTGATTTCTTCCGCCTGGTGAGGTATTTTTATTATTATCTTTTATTTTAGAATTGGCAATTTTCCTGGCCTCACCAAGGTACCCAGGGCCCTTTTGGCGCGGTCCTCGGGTCTCTCTCTCTCTCGGGGACTCCACTAAAAGTAGCTCGATATCAACACGATAAAAAAAAATAGAGATTGCCCTGTTTCTCCAATGTGGAGTGCATGTGGGATTAGTGGCAAAGGATGCCCATGTCACATTGGAGGATGAGATGGTAAAGAATGTCTTTCCACCTACTGCAAGGCAGCATCTCAGCCTGAGATAAGTCGCACACCAAATGAGGAGATGGACCCCAGCCAGCAGGAACAGAGGAGAGAAAGAGGAGAGGGAAGGGACAAAGCTAGCCGCCAGCCTGAGACTCACCCGAGGCTCATTTCAAAGCTTCACGCTACATGGCATTAGATGTTGATTGACATTCGGAGGAGTCCAGAGAGACACCGGAGGTCAGACACAGTCAAACATGGTTATTTATTTAGACCAAAAATAACAAAGACATCTTTGGCAGTCTGCACTGGCTGCAGCCTCCACAAACCGATACCCGCAGCAGAAACTCACCGTTGCCACTCCTTGGAATATTAATAGATTAGTAATATTATTAACGTTATTAATATTATTGATTATACACTGGACATAAATATTTAATATTTTTATTGATATTTTCAAAAACCCGCAAAACAGCGAGTCCGCGAAAAGTGAACCGCGAAGTAGCGAGGGAACACTGCCTATCTCGTTTGCTGGGCCATACTGTGTTTTTGTATCAGTAAAATAATAATAATAGTTGTGTGTGGGCAATGAATATTTCCTTACCTTGACCAAGATTTTCCCTTTCAAGTTCTCCGGGGAAGGCAGTTTTGTGGGATCTTCATTCCTCACGGAAGACAGGTCCAGCTTGTCCCCCAAAACTTCAGTGAGATACTGGGCCATCTTTTTCTGCTGGGCGACGCTGCAGTGATTCTCAATGGACAAAATGACCGGGTATCTGGTTGGGGGGAACAAACAAGCAAGACATCGTTATGACTTCATATTTTCCTTAATGCGCCCACACATTCATTGTCCTGGCATTAAATCCAGTCATGTCTGATTCTGGGGTGTGGTGCTCATCTCCATTTCTAAGCCGAAGAGCCGGAGTTGTCCATAGACACTTCCAAGGTCATGTGGCCAGTGTTCACATGGTGTTTGTGGCACAAGTTCCAATGGATCATCTGAGCAAGGGTGTTGTGCCTCTGCTTGGAGTCTGTCTGCGCGATCTTCTTGCAGCAGCTGAGGATGTGCTGCTTCTTTGCAGAGTCTACACTTGGGATCTGTTGTCGACTTGTCAATTCTTGCTTTGATGGTGTTTGTGGCACAAGTTCCAATGGATCATCTGAGCAAGGGTGTTGTGCCTCTGCTTGGAGTCTGTCTGCGTGATCTTCTTGCAGCAGCTGAGGATGTGCTGCTTCTTTGCAGAGTCTACACTTGGGATCTGTCGTTGACTTTTCAATTCTTGCTTTGATGGTGTTTGTGGCACAAGTTCCAATGCATCATCTGAGCAAGGGTGTTGTGCCTCTGCTTGGAGTCTGTCTGCGTGATCTTCTTGCAGCAGCTGAGGATGTGCTGCTTCTTTGCAGAGTCTACACTTGGGATCTGTTGTTGACTTTTCAATTCTTGCTTTGATGGTGTTTGTGGCACAAGTTCCAATGGATCATCTGAGCAAGGGTGTTGTGCCTCTGCTTGGAGTCTGTCTGCGTGATCTTCTTGCAGCAGCTGAGGATGTGCTGCTTCTTTGCAGAGTCTACACTTGGGATCTGTCGTTGACTTTTCAATTCTTGCTTTGATGGTGTTTGTGGCACAAGTTCCAATGCATCATCTGAGCAAGGGTGTTGTGCCTCTGCTTGGAGTCTGTCTGTGCGATCTTCTTGCAGCAGCTGAGGCTGTGCTGCTTCTTTGCAGAGTCTACACTTGGGATCTGTCGTTGACTTTTCAATTCTTGCTTTGATGGTGTTTGTGGCACAAGTTCCAATGCATCATCTGAGCAAGGGTGTTGTGCCTCTGCTTGGAGTCTGTCTGTGCGATCTTCTTGCAGCAGCTGAGGCTGTGCTGCTTCTTTGCAGAGTCTACACTTGGGATCTGTCGTTGACTTTTCAATTCTTGCTTTGATGGTGTTTGTGGCACAAGTTCCAATGCATCATCTGAGCAAGGGTGTTGTGCCTCTGCTTGGAGTCTGTCTGCGCGATCTTCTTGCAGCAGCTGAGGATGTGATCTATTGTTTCATCTGCTTCCTTGCATAGTCTACACTTGGGATCTGTCGTCGACTTTTCAATTCTTGCTTTGATGGTGTTTGTGGCACAAGTTCCAATGCATCATCTGAGCAAGGGTGTTGTGCCTCTGCTTGGAGTCTGTCTGCGTGATCTTCTTGCAGCAGCTGAGGATGTGCTGCTTCTTTGCAGAGTCTACACTTGGGATCTGTCGTTGACTTTTCAATTCTTGCTTTGATGGTGTTTGTGGCACAAGTCCCAATGCATCATCTGAGCAAGGGTGTTGTGCCTCTGCTTGGAGTCTGTCTGCGTGATCTTCTTGCAGCAGCTGAGGATGTGCTGCTTCTTTGCAGAGTCTATGCGATCTTCTTGCAGCAGCTGAGGATGGGATCTATTGTTTCATCTGCTTCCTTGCAGAATCTACACTTGGGATCTGTCGTCAACTTTTCAATTCTGTGCTTTGATGGCATTTGTGGCGCAAGTTCCAGTGCATCACCTGAGCAAGGGTGTTGTGCCTCTGCTTGTAGTCCGTCTATGTGATCTTCTTGCAGCAGCTGAAGATGTGCTGCTTCTTTGCAGTCTACACTTGGGATCTGTGGTTGACTTTACAATTCTTGCTTTGATGGTGTTTGTGGCACACGTTCCAATGGATCACTGGAGCAACGGTGTTGTGCCTCTGCTTGGAGTCTGTCTGGCGATCTTCTTGCAGCAGCTAAGGATGGGATCTGTGGTTTCGCCTGCTTCCTTGCAGAGTCTACACTTGGAATCTGTTGTTGACTTTTCAGTTCTGGCTTGGATGGCCTTGGTTCTAATGGCTTGTTCTTGGGCTGCCAGGATCAGGCCCTCCTTTGTCTCCTTTTTCAGAATTCCATTTGTGAGCCACAGCCATGTTTTTTCTTTGTCCATTTCACTCTCAATTTTTCCCAGGAACTGTCCATGGAGAGCCTTCTTTATCATCATCATCATCATCATCATCAATTATTATCTATTATTATTATCTATTAATGTTTTTTTGTTGTTGTTATTATTATTATTATCAATTATTATTATTATTATCAATTTTTTATTATTATTATTATTATTATTATTATTATTATTATTATTATTATCATCATCATCAGCATCACATTAGAAGCACACTGTATTTTGACTGGCGCATCTCCCAGTGTCTTGGATGCCTTTCAGACAAAATATTCCAAATAGGAACCCAGACCCATCCAAAGAAGGACGTTGTGTCAGAGAAGAGTCATTTCAGAAGATCCAGCCACTCCTGGCGTCACATTGCGGAGGACAGACTTTGCCAGCCAATCAATCACACCTCAGGCTTTATTTGGGTTTTCGGGATCTATTTTTAGATTCTCCAGTCTTAGGCGCCCAAAACGTCACGTACAGCTTGAAGCGCATCAATATGGCTTTGGGAGGAAGGGGATTCAAGGTGAGCGGCAAAGAAAAGCAAATTGGCCCTTGGCATTCGGTTAGCGCAGTTTTAGATTGTGACGTCCCCCCCGCCACACACACACACCCCAATAAAATATGCTACGCATTGTCTGCATTATATTCATCAAAGACCTACTCTTGCTGGTACAAAGAACAAGGAGATAATTAGTAGATGTCCGTCAGGAAATGCAGGACTCAGTGTCACCAATGGATTGATGACCTCCAGCCCGGGATCCCCTTCTCATTCGTGCATAGGATCTTCAACCCCATGCACGAATGATGATGATGACAATAATAATGATGGTAATCATGGGTTAAACCCTTGTGACCTGAAGGTTGGCAGTTTGAATCCCTGGGACAGGGTGAGCTCCCGCTGTAAGCCCAGCTCCTGCCAACCTAGCAGTTTGAAAATATAAATAAAGTGTATTATCATCAGCAGCATCATCATCATCAGGGAGATAGAGAAGAATATAAATTAAGTATATTATTATTATCGGGAAGATAGAGCGGAATATAAATAAAGTGTATTATTATTATTATTATTATTATTATTATTATTATTATTATTATTATCGGGAAGACAGAGCGGAGTATAAATAAAGTGTATTATTATTATTGTTATTATTATTATTGGGAAGATAGAGCAGAATATAAATAAAGTATACTATTATTATTATTATTATCGGGAAGATAGAGCGGAATATAAATAAAGTATATTATTATTATTATTATTATTATTGGGAAGATAGAGCGGAATATAAATAAAGTATATTATTATTATTATTATTATTATTATTATTATTATTATCGGGAAGACAGAGCGGAGTATAAATAAAGTGTATTATTATCATTGTTATTATTATTATTGGGAAGATAGAGCGGAATATAAATAAAGTATAAAGTATTATTATTATTATTATTATTTGGGGAGATAGAGCAGAATTTAAATATTTATTATTATTATTATTATTATTATTATTCGGGGAGACAAAGCGGAATATAAATAACGTTTATTATTATTGGGAGATAGAGCGGAATATAAATAAAGTATTATTATTATTATTATTTGGGGAGATGAGCAGAAAATAAATAAAGATTATTATTATTATTATTATTATTATTATTATTATCGGGAAGACAGAGCGGAGTATAAATAAAGTGTATTATTATCATTGTTATTATTATTATTGGGAAGATAGAGCGGAATATAAATAAAGTATATTATTATTATTATTATTATTATCGGGAAGACAGAGCGGAGTATAAATAAAGTGTATTATTATCATTGTTATTATTATTATTGGGAAGATAGAGCGGAATATAAATAAAGTATATTATTATTATTATTATTATTATTATTATTATTATTATCGGGAAGACAGAGCGGAGTATAAATAAAGTGTATTATTATCATTGTTATTATTATTATTGGGAAGATAGAGCGGAATATAAATAAAGTATATTATTATTATTATTATTATTATTATTATTATTATTATCGGGAAGACAGAGCGGAGTATAAATAAAGTGTATTATTATCATTGTTATTATTATTATTGGGAAGATAGAGCGGAATATAAATAAAGTATACTATTATTATTATTATTATTATCGGGAAGATAGAGCGGAATATAAATAAAGTGTATTTTTATTATTATTATTATTATTGGGAAGATAGAGTGGAATATAAATAAAGTATATTATTATTATTATCAGGAAGACAGAGCGGAGTATAAATAAAGTGTGTTATTATTATTGTTATTATTATCGGGAAAAAAGAGCGGAATATAAATAAAGTGTATTATTATTATTATTATTATTATTATTATTATTATTATTGGGAAGATAGAGCGGAATATAAATATTATTATTATTATTATTATTATTATTATTATTATTGGGAAGATAGAGTGGAATATAAATAAAGTGTATTATTATTATTATTATTATTATTATTATAAATATTATTATTATAAAAGGTTTGGCAATTTCCAACATGAGAAAGTTAACTGTCCCCATTCCCTCCCCGTATCAGACATTCCCGAGCATCACAATACAAATAATGCAATTAACCAAACTTAATTTAAATGAAGAATCAACAGGAATACATACTCGCTCCGGATGAAAGCATACTTGTTGATGGTTTCAATCACGTCTTTGAAAAGTATCTTGGAGGTCAGCGTGTAGCCGTGGTGGACAATGGGTTCCCCATCCGGACCGTCCCAACAATCAACTGCAAGGCAAGACAAAGAGAATGGGAGTACATTTGGGTTTCGGATCCACATCCTATACTTTGCGGGCCGGAAATGATTTCTGAAAAAAGACGCAACGAAGGAATTGAGAACTTGGGAAAGGCATATTTCCTGGTTGAGAAAATCTGTTGTTATCACTGATTCAAGACTGGTGATAACGGTGAGCTTCCTCACCAGGAATACAAGTAGCACAGGAAAAGTCATTGTCCTGTCTTCGATCTCAGCTTGGAGAGCCTATGAGATGTCTTGCATTCCCAACAGGTTTACACAAACGGGCAGCAGACCTGCAGACTGAAGGCAGGAACCAATGGTTGAAGGAAACTTCTTGGGAAGTAATAGGCGACTCCGCTTAGAACTCCCCGACTGAGAGGTCCACCACTCAGATCATGTCTAGTAGGTATGGTTAGGTTCAGTCGGAATCTTCGTAATTCGGAATAAATTTGGAAAGATTTGCTTTTTGAAGCGATTTTGAAGTTTTTAAGGAAAGCGGAAGTCCCTTTGCCCTTCCGAAGCTTTTTCCGCCATTTTTGTTACGAAGCATTAAGTGAGTTGGAAATTATGGTCTCAATCCTGGGAAGCGTTTTAACCCAGACTGGATGGATTTCCTGCCTTTCCTCTCCCCTCGTTTCTGGTCTCAATCCTGGGAAGCATTTTAAACCAGACCGGATGGTTTTCCTGCCCGGAAATGCGGTGGCCTGAGGCGCAGAGGGGAAGGCCTCCACATGAAGTCAAGCATCCCCCCCCCCCCATAAGGGATGGTAACTTATAGTTCTGCAAAGGGCAAGGGTACCAGACTGCACAAAGGGGTTGAGTTTTGGTCAATTTGCCAAGACACCAGCAACAACAAGGACCCCATGAGGCTTTCAGGGAAGAGCCTGGCATTGGGGTCCCAGTCCTTGGAGGAAGTTATAGTTTCCCAAGGACTAAGGACCAGCTTGATCTTGGCGCTGCAAGAATCCATTCCTTGGCTCAGTGGAGATCATCAAGCACCTTTTTATGACTCTTGGACTTTCTTCAATTTCTTTTTGGCTCTAATGAACTCCTTTTCACATCTGAACTTCCCCAGTATGAACTATGGACACATGCTTTAATAAAATTATTTTAATCAATTTCTCTGGCGGGTGGGGGGAGGGAAAGGAGGCTTGACATGAATTTCTTGTGATTTCTATATTTCCCCATGTGTTTTCCCTCACAAACCCCTTCCCCCTTCCCCTCTTCGAGAAGGGGGAGCCAACGAGGAAGTTGCCCTTTGGCGCTGAAAAGGGCAATCAGCAATCACAAAAAAAACCCATATCTTGGAACTTTTGCATGGACAATAGAACTTGAAATTCCTATTTGATTTCGGAGTTGGGACCGTCAAACTGGAATTTCCTTTGGCAAACTTTTTGATCATTTCACAATGGGAGCGAGACGACTCTCAGGAGGTCGCCTTCCCCAACTTTGTTTACTTCTTTCAAAAGTTTTCATAGCAAACATCCACCCCAAGCCTCCCCTTTGTGCCTTATCTGATCATCGCAGGAAAACCCGGATCAAGTAATCAACACCAATCACCCACCCATCACATAACAATAAAAGTTGGTTTCTCTAGCTGGCCAATTCCCGGACGCAGGAAACTCAGGACATTGGAATTCCATAATCCTATCATCGACACTTTGTTTCTTTTCCGACTCCCTTTTCCTGATTCGCCGAAGCGCCAGAGCAGTGGGAGCTTCCTGATAGGCTCCCGCGCAGCAGAGGAGCCCTATGATTGGTCCTGGCGAGGGTGGGGGGAGCCGAGACTCTTCCCAGGTGTTATCCGGCCAGCCAATCACCAGCAAGCTGGGCGGAGGGGGGGGGGGGGGGGGGAGTGCAGCAGGGAAGGCCGGCCTCACTGGTCTGCTGCTGCCTGCGTGGCTCCGGAGGCTCTGCAGGGGTCTGTGGGGGCCAGGGGGGCAGGCAGGTGCCCTTGAGATGGGCTGGGAGGTGGGTAGGGATGTGCGGGTAAGAAGATCATCTATAAAATAATGTATATATATTAAAAGCATCCCTACTTCATGGGCTTGCACTTATTGCGGGTGGTCCTGGAATGGACACTGTATGTCTTTGTGGGCACAGGAGTGACATTAGAAAATGTTGACCATTTCCGCTCCCTTGGCAGCCACCTCTCCACCAAAGTCAACATCGACGCCGAAATACAACACCGCCTGAGCTCTGCAAGTGCAGCATTTTCCCGAATGTAGCAGAGAGTGTTTGAGGACCGGGACATCCGTAGGGAGACCAAGGTGCTTGTCTATAAAGCTATTGTCCTCCCAACCCTGCTCTATGCCTGTGAGACGTGGACTGTCTACAGATGTCACATGCAACTCCTGGAACGATTCCATCAGCGCTGCCTCCGGAAAATCCTGCAAATCTCCTGGGAAGACAGGCGGACAAACTTCAGTGTGCTGGAAGAAGCAAAAACCACCAGCACTGAAGTGACGGTCCTCCGCCATCAACTCTACTGGACCGGCCACATTGTCCGGATGCCTGACCACCGTCTCCCAAAGCAGTTGCTCTACTCCAAACTCAAGAACGGAAAACGGAATGTTGGTGGGCAGGAAAAGAGATTTAAAGATGGGCTCAAAGCCAACCTTAAAGACTCTGGCATAGACACTGAGAACTGGGAAGCCCTGGCCCTTGAGCGCTCCAGCTGGAGGTCAGCTGTGACCAGCAGTGCTGCAGAATTTGAGGAGGCACGAGTGGAGGTTGAAAGAGAGAAATGTGCCAGGAGGAAGGCGCATCAAGCCAACCCCAACCGGGACAGCCTTCCACCTGGAAACCAATGCCCTCCTCACTGCGGAAGGGAGAAGATGCAGGTCAAGAAGAGGGCTCCACAGCCACATACGGACCCACAAGGAAACCCATAATGGGAGACCATCTTACTCGTCCAACGAGGGATCGCCTAAGCACTGCACAGTCCTCTGCCCTTCCTGATCTGCGGTCGGAGGTGAGGAGTCCACCTGCCTCCCAAGAGGGTCTATCCCTGATTTGTGACGGGCCCCTTACCTTCTACACAGCGGCATCCGGACTGGAGAACCCACGCGTACATGTCAACTCTGGATTGGGACATCAGCTGGTCTCCCATGAGGTAGGTGTTATGGGAAGAGGTGATGAAGTAGTGACTCAAAGGCTGCGTCATGTCCTGGTTGACGTGATAATGCTCCGGATTGAAAATGTCCCCAGCAGGACTGCGCATGTAGTTGGTGAATCCTGTGGGGAGAAGATCAGGTAAATGGGACGCTGGGTCATGGTGGTGTGCTCAGAGAGATGGATTCATACCGAGTGAGACTTGCATTCGATTCTTCACCTGGTCCTAAGTCTCACTGGGTGACTTCATATTTCTCCTTCTAATCTATACTTCTGAGCAGCGATGACAAACTTGTGGTCCTCCAGACATTTTGGACATTAGCTCTCAGAATTTCTGGCCACTGGACAAGCTGGCAATAGGGGCTTCTGGGAGCTGGAGGCCCAAACATCTGGAGGGTCACAAATCTGATACTTCTGCTTCAGAGTTTGTGGTGAAAGAACCCGAGTGTTGGATGGGCTTACAACCCCCCGAAACTTGGAGATGCAAGTCACACCCGCTTGGGTGTGATCCTGGACTCATCGCTGAGCTTGCAACCCCAATTTTCGGCGGTGACCAGGGGAGCATTTGCACAGTTAAAACATGTGCGCCAGCTGTGCCCGTACCTTGGCCACGGTAGTCCATGCTCTGGTTACATCCCCGTATAGACTACTGCAACACACTCTACGTGGGCTGCCTTTGAAGACTGTTCAGAAACTTCAAATTGTACAAAGGGCGGCAACCAGGTTACTAACAGGAGTGGCACTCAGGGAAACACACTACTCCTCTGTTGTGTCAGCTCCGCTGGCTGCCAATTTGCTACCAAGCACAATTCAAAGTGGTGGCGTTGGCCTATAGAGCCCTAAACGATTCCGGATCAGCTTACCTGTCCGAACGTATCTCCTCCTATGAACCATCTAGAAGGTTAAGATCGTCTGGGGAGGCCCTGCTCTCGATCCCGCCTGCCTCGCAAGTGCGACTGGCAGAGATGAAGGACAGGGCCTTCTCGGTGGTGGCCCCCCAGCTATGGGATATTAGATCGCCCCCCTACCTCCTGACTTTCCGAAAAAAGTAAAGACCTGTCTCTTTGAGCAAGTTCTTGAGAATGCAGCAGAATAGTTAACGCGGAACTATGAATGATGAACACAGATTGGCCAGATGATGTGACTGGATAACGTTTTTAACAGGATGACACCAGTGATTATATGCTTTAACGGTTTTTATTTTTGTTTTATATTGAAATGTTGATTGCTTTTAATGGTGACCAGGGGAGCATTTGCACAATTAAAACTTGTGCGCCAGCTGCGCCCGTACCTTGGGAAGTCTGGCTTGGCCACGGTAGTCCACGCTCTAGTTACATCCCGTTTAGACTACTGCAACGCTCTCTACGTGGGGTTGCCTTTGAAGACGGCTCAGAAGCTCTAATTGGCCCAACGTTCAGCAGCCATGATTCTAACAGGAGCGGGACGCAGGGAGCATACAACCCCCCTGTTGTGCCAACTCCACTGGCTACCGATTTGCTACCGGGCTCAATTCAAAGTGCTGGTGTTGACCTTTAAAGCCCTAAACGGTTCCGGCCCAAGCTACCTATCGCATCTCGGCCTATGAACCCACCAGGACTTTGAGATCTTCCGGGGAGGCCCTGCTCTCGATCCTGCCTGCTTCTCAAGCTCGGCTGGCGGGGACGAGAGATAGGGCCTTCTCGGTGGTGGCTCCTCGGCTGTGGAACGCCCTTCCTACGGACATTAGACTAGCCCCATCGCTAATGGTATTCCGCAAAAAAGTGAAGACCTGGTTGTTCGAGCAGGCGTTTGAATAGTTAGTGCAATGAGTGTAATGAACATAGGAATGGAACAATGGATGACGGATTTGGATCATGTTTTCAGTGATGAGATGCCAGTGAATGGCTATTGTTGTTAATTATATAGGATTGTTTAGGTGTTATGATGTTACTGTTTTTTACCGTGTACTGTATTTTGCTGTTTGTTGTTAACCGCTGTGAGTCGCCTATGGGCTGAGAACAGCGGTATACAAATAAAGTAAATAAATAAGTAAATAAATAAATGGCACTTTCATGTGCCAATCTGTAACCCGCCTTGAGTCGCCGTATGGCTGAGAAAGGCGGGCTATACATATTGTAAATAAATAATAATAAATAATACCTCTGAGGATGCTTGCCATAGATGCAGGCGAAACGTCAGGAGAGAATGCCTCTAGAACATGGCCATATAGCCCAAAAAACCTACAACAAATCCAGGTGGTCAGTTGAAACATTCACACCTAGCTCCAGCAGACAAGAGTCCTTTGTCCCACCCTGGTCATTCCACAGATATATAAACCCATTTTCCTATTTCCAACAGACCTCACTACCTCTGAGGATGCTTGCCATAGATGCAGGCGAAACGTCAGGAGAGAATGCCTCTAGAACATGGCCATATAGCCCGAAAACACCTACAACAACCCAGTGATTCCGGCCATGAAAGCCTTCGACAATAAATAATAATTTGTGCCACTCTTTAATTTCCATGTGTTGCCTCGACCCGGGTTTTGAACTGTCAACCTTTCGGTTGGCAGGATTTACTGCAGCTGGCAGGTAAACTGCTGTGCTAAAGCCCGGCTCAATACTTTGTCCCTCGGTCTCCAAGTGTCCAAGCGTTAATGACCAAGTCCCATTAACAGAGCTTCTTCTCCTGGGTTCAGATGCACCCTGGGTAAACTGGAATGCCAGAGCACTCCCTCTTCCCAATTACACATAAGGGTTGGTCCACACAGTCAAAGGCTATAATATCAGAATAAATCGTGGCAAGTTCTTGGTGGTCTGGGCATACTAAGCCACCTTGTCTCTCTCCTGAGGAATCTGTATAAGGACCAAGTAGCAACATTGACCACGGAACAATGATGCTTGGGAAAATGGAAGGAAAAGGGAAGAGGGGCCAACCAAGGGCAAGGTGGATGGATGGCATTCTTGAAGTGACTGGCTTGACTGGATTGATGTTGAAGGAGCTGGGGGTGGTGACGGTGGACAGGGAGATCTGGTGTGGGCTGGTCCATGAGGTCACCTAGAGAAGACAATGATGCTGGGGAAAATGGAAGGAAAAGGGAAGAGGGGCCAACCAAGGGCAAGGTGGATAGATGGCATCTTTGAAGTGACTGGATTGACCTTGAAGGAGCTGGGGGTAGTGACGGTTGGCACATCATGAGAAGACAGGAAAGCTTAGAGAAGAGTATGATGCTGGGCAAAATGGAAGGAAAAGGGAAGAGGGCAACCAAGGGCAAGATGGATGGATGGTATCCTTGAAGTGACTGGCTTGACCTTGAAGGAGCTGGGGGTAGTAACGGGCCACATCATGAGAAGAAAGCTTAGAGAAAACAATTATGCTGGGGAAAATGGAAGGAAAAAGGAAGAGGGGCTGACCAAGGGCAAGATGGATGGATGGTGTCCTTGAAGTGACTAGATTGACCTTGAAGGAGCTGGGGGTGGTGACGGCCAACAGGGAGCTCTGGCGTTGGCTGGTCCATGAGGTCACGAAGAGTCGGAAGCGACTGAACAAATATGGAAGGAAAAAGGAAGAGGGGCTGACCAAGGGCAAGATGGATGGATGGCATCCTAGAAGTGACTGGATTGACCTTGAAGGAGCTGGGGGTGGTGACGGTCGACACACCATGAGAAGAAAGGAAAGCTTAGAGAAGACATGATGCTGGGGAAAAAAGAAGGAAAAAGGAAGAGGGGCCGACCAAGGGCAAGATGGATGGATGGCATCCTTGAAGTGACTGGATTGACCTTGAAGGAGCTGGGGATGGTGACGGCCGACAGGGAGCTCTGGCGTGGGCTGGTCCATGAGGTCACCTAGAGAAGACAATGATGCTGGGGAAAATGGAAGGAAAAAGGAAGAGGGGCCAACCAAGGGCAAGATGGATGGATGGCATCCTTGAAGTGACTGGATTGACCTTGAAGGAGCTGGGGGTAGTGACGGCCGACACACCATGAGAAGACAGGAAAGCTTAGAGAAGAGTATGATGCTGGGGAAAATGGAAGGAAAAGGGAAGAGGGGCCGACCAAGGGCAAGGTGGATGGATGGCATCCTTGAAGTGACTGGCTTGACCTTGAAGGAGCTGGGGGTGGTGACGGTCGACACACCATGAGAAGACAGGAAAGCTTAGAGAAGAGTATGATGCTTGGGAAAATGGGAGGAAAAGGGAAAAGGAGCCAACCTAGGGCAAGATGGATGGATGGCATCCTAGAAGTGACTGGCTTGACCTTGAAGGAACTGGGGGTAGTGATGGTCGACACATCATGAGAAGACAGGAAAGCTTAGAGAAGAGTATGATGCTGGGGAAAATGGAAGGAAAAGGGAAGAGGGGCTGACCCAGGGAAAGGTGGATGGATGGCATCCTTGAAGTGACTGGATTGACCTTGAAGGAGCTGGGGGTCGTGACGGCCGACAGGGAGCTCTGGTGTGGGCTGGTCCATGAGGTCACCTAGAGAAGACAATGATGCTGGGGAAAATGGAAGGAAAAGGGAAGAGGGGCCAACAAAGGGCAAGGTGGATAGATGGCATCTTTGAAGTGACTGGATTGACCTTGAAGGAGCTGGGGTGGTGACGGCTGACAGGGAGCTCTGGTGTGGGCTGGTGCATGAGGTCACTTAGAGAAGACAATGATGCTGGGGGAAATGGAAGGAAAAGGGAAGAGGGGCCGATCCACGGCAAGATGGATGGATGGCATCCTTGATGTTGAAGGAGCTGGGAGTGGTGATGGCTGACAGTGAGCTCTGGTGTGGGCTGGTGCATGAGGTCACCTAGAGAAGACAATAATGCTTGGGAAAATGGAAGTAAAAGGTAGAGGGGCTGACCAAGGGCAAGATGGATGGATGGCATCCTGGAAGTGACTGGCTTGAACTTGAAGGATGAAGTGCTCTGGCCACATCATGAGAAGAAAGGAAAGCTTAGAGAAGACAATGAGGCTGGGGAAAATGGAAGGAAAAGGAAGAGGGGCCGACCAAGGGCAAGATGGATGGATGGCATCCTTGAAGTGACTGGATTGACCTTGAAGGAGCTGGGGGTGGTGACGGTCGACACACCATGAGAAGACAGGAAAGCTTAGAGAAGAGTATGATGCTTGGGAAAATGGGAGGAAAAAGGAAGAG